TCAGGTCTCAATTGTTTGAAAAAATCGGGTGTGTCTTCTAATACAAATTTAATGGTACAGATAGAGATTATATTTCAAAACTGCTAGTGGCAGATAATGCTGTACATGTTATACCATAAATACACTCATTGAACACTTCTTATTAGTGTACTAGTACTGCTGTGTACATTACTATTACAGATACATCATCACATTCTGTACACTCAGATGTTATAAATGCATTGAAAGATGAATCAACAACTGCAATATGACCCCCTACGATCAATGACATGTGACGTCAATGGGACCAGCGAAAAAGAACTTGTTATTAAATATAGATTCAGGAATGGGACTGAAACAATAGTATTTATAGATTGCAACGATTTTATAGCCTTTTTTTTTTTAAATTATTTAGAGCAATGTTCAAAACAAAAATGGTTTTCATAATTTGAATTAGCTTTTGTATTTTGGCTTCACAATTGATGTAAACATATGCATTCCTGCACTCTCAATATTACTAATTTATATTTCTCATTTGTATAGCTAGAGTATTGACATAAAGTATAATTTATTGTTAATTAGGGAATAAACCGTCCTTGCAGTCAGGGATACAGCAAGGTATTGCATAATTCATGTCATATGCATAACACATAGGAGAGTGCATAAATAGTGTGAATTGGTATCTTGACTGATGCGACAGTTTATTCTTATTATAACAACTTCATAATTCTGAGACACAAAAATAACCCTAAAACACCAAAAACCATGTACAATGTGATACAGCATGCAACCATGATTAAATGAAATGGCCTTGGAACTAGCATACAGAAATTACGGATACATTGAGTGGTGTCATACATTTTCCCCCATATTTATTCATGTAGTTTCTGTTTTATTGGCAATGTACATTATGTAAATTCATCTCAATTAACATAATTTCAATTTTCATTGACCTTGGGAAACTTGCCCCAGATGACATCAAAAGCAATTAGACGTAACTAATTTACATACCATACATACCAATAATTAGGACAGACTATATAATGGTCAACATGACTACATAATCCAATTAAGTTTTTTTTATCAAAAACAATAATTTAAAAGTCCTATGTACATTATGAATTATCAATCATACAACTTACATGCAAATGAATTTGATATCTTAATTTGTGAAAGCATAGTGTTGAAGTTGAAGCAGTTCACGTTCAATTCAAATTTTGCATTAAAACATGTTACTGCATATATATGCAATGCATTATGGGAGAGAACTTTCCCATTTTATGTAACCGAAAATTATTATGTGGCGGGAAATATTTTAATAATGTTTAGATTCATATCAATAATATGACTTTTTCATCCTAGTCATCAAGCATAATTTCAAGTAAAACCAGTAAAAATATGCATTTTTTATGATATTTCAAAATTTTATTAAAAACAGTCTAGTTACCCCAATTTTTGTTTTAAATTTTGGTGTCACAATGGTATTAACACATGTTGTAATAATTAAAGCGCGGTGGTCGTCACGCAGTGCATGTTCAATTTCATGTAAATAAACAAAGTATTTTACACGCGTTGTATACATCGCTCTGAGTCCCATATCGAACAAGACGCGGCATGACGACTGTCGCCCTTTAAAGCATCTTTAATTTGGCCAACTCTTATTAATATGTAATAGTATACATGTTTAATAAGTTATTTCTTGCCTTGATGTTTTATTGCCGTGCTGTGTAATGGAGTAATGTGTAAAGCCAAATCAAATAGTGAATTAGTATTCATTGAAATTGAAAATTACTTCCATTAATGAATATCATTATGGGATGGATTAATTTCTGACAGATTGGTTTGTTAAATACTATATCATTACATGAAATTTATGCTTTGCTGATTCTCAGATCAATCACATGTTTGGATGCCATGCGTGGAATATACTTGAAACACGGACATGTATTGAGATGAATAATGACCTAAATATGGTGTCCCATAACTACAAAGTTCTTCAGATGCACAGTGAATTACAATGTAGTTGAATAGGCAAAAACATTAGTCATCCCACTGCAAAATTGTGTGGCAGTGAACATTTCACTGCAGTTCTTTTAAGACAGCGAGACACAGTGACAATCAAGCTTACCGGTAACTTAACTTAAGCTCGCTTTTAGGTTGCTTAAAGGTGTCTTAGTTTACTTAACCCTAAGTATTCTCTAATGAGTTAACGGAGGATAATACTACAGAGAATAAGTTGAAATTACTGATGACAATGATACTCACTTTAAAAATTGTTTGAATGAAAAGGCAAAGCCAGTTGATAGCCGACGTAGAAGTAAAGTCACTCCCAGACTGTCTGTATGTACAGTACTCCTCCGACTTAGCATCCATGCTCCACTGAGCACCCAGCCTCATACTTTTAGGGCATTTTTAAGGTCATGTTCAGCTAAGAGCCCATTCCTTCAAAAATGCATTTGATCATTGATAATAGTTTGTCGGTAAGCAAAGTTATACATGTATAATACAATGTGGATACTGACCACTGTAAATGCAATGTACTCTTGCCTAGTTTGTTAAAATAAAACCTCTCAAACTGTGACAAATGTCCACGACAGAAAAAAAAAACTAAAGTTAACATACATGTACATGTAATGTACTTAAATTTAGAATCACACATATCCTGCCAAAAAAATATGAGACAACATCTTAAACAAAAAATAAATAAATTTCAAATGTTTTGCTACATGATTTTTTTTGGAACCTATTTTAAAAATAAAATATTTTGGACCAAATAAGCATAATTTACTATTGGCTATAGATCATGATCAAAATTTTAGAAACAAAAATTTAAAAAAAATTGTGGATAGGTGACAAGAGCTCATTTTGGTGCTCAGAAGGTTAACCAGCTCAGAGGGTTAACCAGCTCCCTGCTTACACTTTGCCAGTTGTAAATTTCACTTATTAAGTATATGTGTAAGAAAGCATCCCAGGTTATGCCATGAGATCTGATTACATTCAAATTTATGAATAATTCATGAATTGAATAAATATTCAGCACACTATATGTATTATGCATGCATGTGTGGATATGAAAGGAAATAAAACATCCATCAAATCATGTGTACCATACACTTTACCTTTAACAGCTGCTTGTATACCTGACAGTTTATCATCACTTGAAAGTTAAAACTCACATTTGTCTTATATGCAATAATCATGTACCTGACCTTTGTACAGACTAGGTGGACAGCGTTATTCAGAGTTATTATACGAATGCAAAACACAAAACTAGATTTTTCAACTTATCCAATTTTTTTTTAATTTTTGTTTTTTGCTTTACAACATGCTGTTAGGACATGGCATAATTCATGGAATTATATTGATAATTTTAAATCACACAATTTGTTGGATCACTTTTGGTTTGATGTGCCCCATGCAACATATACAACACTGTTTGTTGTTCAAACAAAATTAAAATGTGCACTGTACAACATTTCAAAACTAAATTTTATAGATTTTTTGGGAAATCAATTAAACAAAACATTTTATCCAAAGAAAATTAATTAACATCACATCAATGTAAAATAATTTCATAGAATCTGTCTACCACATGACAATATGTATTCTCACTAGTTATCAAAATATTACAATCCATTAAACCTTGAATTTGATTAAAACTCTGTATATACTAAATTAAATTCAACTTTTGTGACCATTTACAAAATAGACCTTAAACATTTGTTTCATATTTGTTTCAGAATTTGGAAGCATATGGGATATTATGTTCATTTGGCCCAGACTCACCGAAAAAATTTATTGAACAATACCAGTACATACAAATGTGATATTTAAAGAGTCGTGTTGCTGTAAAACTCAAATTGCAAAACAATGGATTGCAATTACATACATGAATTAAAAGAACACCCCTTGATAATATAAAGAGCAAGTATTTGCAATTTACTCTTGAAAGTTAAATGATAAATTACAAATAAAAAATATATAAAAATGTTTTTAATAAATTTTTAATTTTAAATTGTCGTTTAGACAAGCGCTAACTACTCAGTTATTCATACTATATCAATTTAAAAAAAAACAAAAAAACTATTATTTACAAACCACAGAAGAATTGTAATTTCTTTATGGTTAGGATAAAGATTATTATCCTTATTATAACATGCACATAAGCAAATAATCCCAATAATGTTAAGAAAGCACCATGGAAACAATGAATTGTTGCATATGTACCATGGAGCTGAAAATAATTCTATTCTTAGCGCCATGCATATATATACTGTATAACAATACACTTCCCAACGT